ATTTACAGGATTTGGGAGTACGGGAACTTTTTCGTGTAACTACCTGCATGCTCGTGTAAAAACCTGTAAGTTCATGAAGTTCTGAATCAGAGCTATTAATGTTTATCTTGTATATTGCTTGTTAAAAGAATTTGTTATTGAATTCCAAAGTTTGAGGGAACATCAGCTAAATCCCAGATGGGTTCTTACATCAGAAAGTGGTTTTCGTGAAAATTGTAGATTCATATGTATATATGTACAAACAAAAACTTTTATTTTTTCGGTAAGCGCTTACTTTTTGTATCGATGGAGTAACGCGTTACAATACGCCTAAATGCTGGTAATGCTGGAACTTAAACCATTGCACCTTTCAGTTGAGTTTGCGAGATAGGGTTTTGGTAAAGGTAAGGTAGTGTCGTCGAACATGGAAAAGCTGGGCTTCAAGCTCCCTCCAGATTTGCTTCCTATTGACGACATGCATAGAGTGGTAGTTTTAGAAATAAACTCTAAGTTTGAAACACATAGCAAGGCGACTTGGAGTATCTCTATCAAGGAGAGACACGTCCAGGCAGGCACATTTAAGTGGTATACAGATAGCCCTGAAACTTCTGAGGGGAGGGTTCCGGGAGTGTTGCTGGAGTGACAGTGCTTGGCCAGATATAAATCTGGGTCGTTCCGGTTACGTACACCCGTCTCATGATTCAATAATATAAGGTTTGCTCAGAAAACAGTTTTCTTGCTCCCTCTTGACGAAATCGGCTCACTTAGCAGGGAGTTATGGGAGTTTCAAAAGTCTAATGCCACTAGTGAGCAAACCTTTAATTATTGAATCATGGACCCGACTGTCGTGAGAACGACTCAATTGCATGCAAATGGTCAGTATAATATCCTATCTGCTTTTGAAAATCTTTTTAAAAATGTCTTTATCTATATGTATTTATTTTATTATTATTATTAGATATTTGTGCATACACTTTTTGGCATAAAATGACTTTGGCGATTTAACAGAAAATGATTGGCATTTATACATGTAACTATAATTTTTATAAGGAAACAGTTTTAAATTATTTTTTAGTTAATTAATGCATTACATCGAATCTTATTGTACAAAAATATTAGTTTTTAATGACTGAATAAATTTGAACACACTCTTACCAACAAAAACATGCGCATTTATTCTTAGCAAGTCAGTTGAAAAACTCGTTTTGAAACTATACGACATAGGCGCAACATAATCGCTATTAACCCGTTTTCGAATTGCTAAACAATTTTTCCTGCTTTATATGCAAAATTATACATATACATATAACTGCAACATTTTTTGCGACTTTTTTCAGATTTTACTTAGTATTTCTTTCAACAGCAAATTTGATCGCAAGCTTAATAGTTTATCTATTCGAGTAAATCTTTCTATTGTTTAGTTTTTCGGCTGCTCATTAGTATAAACAGATTTAAAAATACATATGCATATCGAGTATTTTTGTGACGCAAATTAATATAAAAATTCGAGTTAGTTAACATCTAAGAGTATAAATGGAATATATAGATTTCAACTACATCTATAAGGATTACAGTTTCATTACTTTTATAACTAATAAGGCACATCAAAAGAATATGTTTTCATACGCAAATACTGTTATATACGTATGAAAGCATATACATAGATTCATATACATTTCCTACAAAGAAATGGCAATCAAAGTGGCAGTAATAATAGAAAAAAAAAACTTATTTTGTATGGGAGCAACGCTTAAACGATTTTACACTCAAAACTCTTCATGGCTCTTGGACAAATACAGATCTTGACTGAATGAACGACCATCGCCACCATCCATATCCACAATTAATTCATCTTCGAATGGTTTTGGAGCTGCCTCCGTTTCAAGTGCTGGCGGAAATTCTAATTCACGATCGCTCTTCAATTGTACATTAGAATCAGTGTTCAATGTTTCTGGGGTCACCTCAGAGTCTTCTGTGTCGGAAATATATCCAGTTTCGCCGGTATAATGTGTGGGGAAAAGTATTAAAGGGGCAGCACTGAAAGCGAGCAAATCGCGTTTGGGAAAATTTGAGCTCCAAGTTTTATTCGGATGACGGTTGAACATAATGGGCAGGAACTCATCTACAGGTAGTAGCTTTTCTAACGGTTTAGCGGCAAGTAATTTGCGAGCACCTTGTAGTGTTATAACGTAGCCCAGTGTCCAGTAGGAATAGCCAGCATGTACAACATTTTCTGCACCTTGTACCCATGGCTCCTTTTCCTCCTTCAACCGCTTGCGTCCAAAGTAGCTGAATAGAAATAGACAATTTTGTAAAGGGTTATGGTTTTTGTGATTAAACATTTTTTTTAGCTTACAGCAAATCATATTCCACCACGTTGCGTATTTGCGAGAGCACACGTATAGCGCTATCCTTGAAGTAAGGCTGGAAACGCACGTCATCCTCTAGTACTAGTACTTCATTTTGTTCACGCTCAACTACCTTTTCCCAAATACGATAGTGACTCAGAAAGCAACCTATTTCGCCCATAGTCATTTGGCGGTGGTGGTAGGGATCTTCATAGCCGGGTAAGAACTTAATACCCATGTCTTGTAATAGCTCAGTGGTCAAATTCCTGAAATAGATACGAGGTAATTAAATTCGGAACGCCATTTTATACAATATTTCTATACATACTTTCCGTCGACGGCGGGAAAATACTCAACATCGAGACCTATTTCACGGAAAAGGTTTTCCATTTTGGCGCGTCGTTCTGGACGTCGCTCTAGATTAATCATATAAATGTGGTCCAACGTAAGTTTGGTTCTAAAACAAGAAAAATATTCAGATTATTTGAAAACTTCTCGAATTTTTCGTATATCTGTTATTTACTTACTTATTTGGATAACTGATATAGTCCTTAAAGTAATCGGGCACTTGCGCAACTTCGTCTTGATCATGCACAATATTTGCACGTATGTTAACCAGCTGCTGCAAATCTACATCCAGGCCATCGATAACTTCCAGTGGCTGCATTAGATAGCCATGCGGCAGCTTATTGCTTACGAACAATGGAATACGTGAACAATTTGCCGATGTTGCAAAGACAATAATATCATCCATAGGGCCATCGTATGGCCGACACGGTGTCACTCCTTCGCGCTCAGCCCAATCGACCTCATTTTGTTGTTGTTCTATCAGACGCTCGCGATCGAATGTCAGATAACGCGCGCCCTGATAGTTCATTCTTATCAGTACAGCGCTATGAACCATTGGCACAGGGAAAACGCCTTCCTTGTTCACATTGTAGATTTCCTTATATTCGTCGGTGCGTTGGTAATAATAATCGGATGTCATGCCACACCAAAAATTGGAATAAAGACCTTCAGAGAGTAGCATGGGTGCTACAATCGGCAGACGCAGACTAGTCAAATGCGTCAACGAGTCTGTGTGCGTGAGTAATATATCAGCATCCAGGAACTGCGTGGGGAATTTTAAGTATTATTTTACTTGTATGAAAAAAATTGTGTATGTATCCATAATTACAAATATGTAGTCTGCCCAAATCTGCTTTGCATATGTCAGCGCTAATTCTTTCAAGTGTATGAGATGATGAAAGCGTTCAGCAGGCCAATCGTTCGGTGTACTTTCATTTTGATGACGTTGCACACTATCGTCATGCTCGAAATCGACACTGTGATACGAGTCAGCAGTGTGATTAAGCCACAGCTGCAGTAGTTCCGTACTTGCGTCGTTATTATGATCAGAACGTATCCTATGAATGGAAAGTATGTACACATAAATGCCACTTATCAACCCGCAACTATGAAATGCGATAACCAATACATATACAGTCTAAAAATCTGCCGGTGATACTTACCACAGCGCCATTTGCTGTTTTGGGTAGCTGAGGCGCTCCAAATATGTGAGGAACAATGGTAGGATGTGTGCCTTGTTGCGTACCAGAAGCGCTACCACCACGGTGGGTGGCTCATCGCCCAAATCGGGCGGTAGCAAGGCGTACAGGTCTTCGAGACTCGGTACAGACTGCGGCGACGACGACTTGGCGGTTTCCGGTGGCGCAACAGCGCTACAGTAATAGGCGCTCAGAGCAAAAAGAAGCGTACAAATGGCGAATATGCGCATCTTGAGGTTAATCGCAAAGTTGTTTTGCTGCTGCGATTTTTGTATGAATTTCCAAAACTGCCAGCACTTTATTCCATATGTATGTTCACTCACCACGGTACCGAACGTTCTGAGACGAGAAACGCGAGTTTTCGTTTAAAATCTATTTTAAACAGCTTGTTTTAATTACTCGACGACAGCAGCATAAATCTGGTTCCAGCAATCAGAAACAGCATACATACACACAAACAAAAGAAAAATATGACGTTTCTTATCATAAACAAATCGGACCACAAAGGATTTGTTGTTGGCGAGCGGGTACGAATGACAATGCGCAAAAGACATGTGTTCGGTGTCAATACAGTGGCTTGCAAACTGAGGCAAGTTTCACAGGCCTATCACAGATTCCGAGTGAACTACCGTCGCGAAAAAATCTCCCGGCACGAATTCGGGAGAAATGCTATCAGCAAATTCCGACGCATTCGTAGTTAGTGCTACCTTTGGTTTTTATTTGTTTTGATGTTTTGATTTAATAATTCCAAATTAAAATAAAATAAATCAAAATAAAATAACTCGAATCAGTGATACCATTCTCACAAATTTCGAATTTGCGGGAGAATTTCGTGATCACGACGGAATTTATGATAGCGTGACAACGTCGGGACAGGGCTGCCAACTACCCTTAGCTATGAGGTGCCATATTGAGGATAAAAAAGTGCCAAATAGAAAAATAAAAATAAATTCAAACATTAAGTGCCATTTGGTGTAAAATAGGGCCAAAAATGGCACGGTTTGAGCAAAGTTGGCAGCATTGCCTCGGGATCTCCGACGGAATTGATGATAGGTCGTCAGGTTGCTAGTGGCTGTTAAACTTTTATACTAACCGATCTTTTGGTCTTTAACAGGTTCCGGTAAAGTATTCAGGTCCCAAGCCGATACACCGATAGTTTTAGTACCACTGACGTGTTGAAGTCAAATCCTACAGTGGTACTGAATTATGCATAATCAGCTGTTTAATCTACAAAAATAAAAAAAAAAAATAGCAAAAATTACGAGACTACCACAAATGGTGAAAAATAATAATTATTATAATAAATATCAATAACTTAAATTGTTTCGATTTATACCGGCAATGCTACGCTTCCTGCACAAGTCAAGAGTGCATTGGATGCGCCTGTCTCGTTTTCGTTACCATTCAACAAGCGGAAAAGGTGGTGCAGATGCCGGTGAATCTGCGCGGAAACAACGACTGAAGTCTACTCTTTACTACTTGACCGCTGGTGGTATATTTGCTGCAGGTGCTAGCTATGCTGCAGTGCCTCTTTATCGCATGTTCTGTCAGGTGAGTGCCAATATCGCAGCTCATAAAACAACCAAATTTATCTTACCTAACCACAGGCCTACAGTTACGGCGGCACAACAACACAGGGGCACGATGCGGATAAAGTAGAGACAATGCAAAAAATTGAAGATCGTATACTAAAAATACGTTTCAATGCAGATATAGCAGCGTCGATGCGCTGGAATTTCAAGCCACAACAATATGAAATTAAAGTTGTGCCTGGCGAAACGGCGTTGGCTTTCTACACAGCTCGTAATCCAACGGATCACCCAGTTACAGGTATAAGCACCTACAATGTTCTTCCATTCGAGGCTGGCGCGTACTTTAATAAAATACAATGTTTTTGCTTTGAAGAGCAGCAACTCAATCCGCATGAAGAGGCAAGATTTGTTGGCGACACGTTGTGTAATATGTAATAATTTTATTCATTGTTTTTGTAAACTGTTTCTAGGTGGATATGCCCGTGTTTTTCTATATCGACCCTGAATTTACCAGGGATCCAAAGCTGGAAAATGTCGATACAATAACGTTGTCGTATACTTTCTTTGAATCAAAGGAAGGTTTGAAGTTACAAATGCCCAGCTATGCGAGACCGCATGTAGCGTGATGGAGACCCATCCATGTTTTGTTTTAAATTTAGCACATTAGGAGAAAGCATCCGAATTAATTAATTAAATTTATTTACCCTCGACTGCTCCGTTGTAAATAAACTTCTTAGTAAATAGAGTATGACTTTGGTTATATAAGTTAAAAAGCAATGCAAAACCCCTTACTAGTATATACGTACATGACGTTTGCAATATTAAATATGAATTTGCTGATTTTAAAATATTTATGACGTAAATTTTATGTAATTTTAAGCAGCACAACAATGGGTAATAGCAAGTAATGCCATTCTTGGTCTAAACGGTGGTGGTGACGTTGCTAGGAAACGGAAATTTTATGTAAACAGATAAGTTACTTTCGAGGCGTTTGCTAATTCAGAGTTATCTTTCTTTGATATTAAATTATAAATTCAATGAATAGGACATAACAATTGAAACCGAGTTATAATGAAGATTGGAACGATTTCGCGGTAACACATAGCTTTATTGGATGATAAGTAAAATTCTGCGATTTTCTTTATGGTGAACGGACGGATCCAACTTTCATACCTGCCATTTTTAAATAATGTCAAAAAGTTTTACACTGCCACACTTTCGTTTGTTGCAGAGGCTTAATAGAAATATTTTTCTCAAAGATTTCGCGTAATTAATCAGCACTTAATGAAGCTCGCCAGCTTCGCACAGCCATGAACTTCAGTGACGACCCCTTGGCTGATCTGCTTAGCGACAATAGTCTGGAAAATGACAGTTTCTTCGATAATCCGGTGGGCAAAAAACCAGCCAATCGTATAGGCAAGAATAAAAATAAATTGGATGATTTATTTGGAATTAAAGAAGAAAGTGAAGTTTCAAAGCAGCCAGTTCCAAAAACACGTCAGCCGCAATCCACCAGCGCAACAACTGTTAGTAGCACAACGCGCAAAGATCTGTCCCAAGACGATGATGATGACTTAGGTTTCGATCCACAAAAACCAAAAGCTGGCGGCAAGCTAAATTTGTTGGACGATTTGCTCGCGAGTTCCGGCATTAACGAACCAAAAAGACCCGCGACCGCGCAACCAACAACTGGGCGCCGTGACACAGAAAAACCTGCTATTTCGCGACAATCAACTGAAACTACCACCGACACCTCAAATGTTCTCCTGACACAACCACGTCCGAAAACATCAGCTGGCCGCCGCAGTTCAAGTACTTCGAATGCCATGAATACCGATCCTCTGGGTCTTTTTGGTCCACAGACTAAAGAGCGTGACAAAGAGCCCTCCACTTCTGGCTTATCAACGCCAAAGGCCAGAAAACGTGGCACCACCGCAGATTGGCTTGGTTTGAGCACGGAACCGGAAATCGTGGACAAGGCTGGCATTTTACCAGATTCACCACTGCACACATCAAAGCAGCCAACAACAACGTCGCTTACAACAACTGCCAGCACAGCTAGAGAAACTATGGACATTTTAAAATTACCTGGTAATGAGGCGTCTCCACAAGCAGAACAGCATACGCTGCGCGAGGAAACGCTGGCTGTGCCACAATTTACGCCTTCTGCGGCAGCGGGTTGCAGCACTGCCCAAAATATACTCCTACTCAATACGCACAATATGGAAATGAAAAACGCTTTCACGGCATTGCAGCAGCAGGAATCACAATTAGTATTGGCGGCACAAATGAAAAATCAAGAGCGCGCTTTGCTGGAAATGCAGCGTAAACAAGAAGCGCTACTGCAGCAGCAGGAGCGACAATTTCAGGCGCTAATGCAACAGCAGCTTCAGCGTCAACAACAAATGGAGGAGCATATAAA